AATACTTAAAGCCCTAAGCCCTGAATCCCTAACGTGCCTAGAGCCCGAAACCTACATCCGCATGCTGCGAGCACGCGCGCCATTTCTAGGCAGCAGGCATGCCGCGTAAGTTCATCTGCTACAGCAAGGCACCACGCAGCTATTGTAACAAGAGTGACACTTCCGAATGGCCCCTCTCGGTTGCGATGAGACGCGGCGTGGCTCCATCTGCGGTAGCCAGGTCTTTGGAGGCACCCCACTCCAGCAGCAGACGCGCCACTTCTAAATTCCCGTTCTGAGCAGCAATAAAGAGAGGCGTGGCTCCACCTGGTACTGCAAGGTCCTTGTCCGCGCCGTTCTCCAGCAGCAAGCGTGCCACCTCCAAGTGGCCGTACTTTGCTGCGATGAAAAGAGGCGTGGCTGCACCTGCTATTGAAGCCGAAGCCAATGCAAGGTCCTTGTCCGCACCATTCTCCAGCAACAAGCGTGCCACTTCTAAGTGGCCGTTCTCAGCTGCAGCATGAAGTGGCATGGTTCGTTTTGCTGTGGCCAGGTCTTTGCCTGCACCAAACTCCAGCAACAAGCCCACCACTTCCAAGTGGCCTTCGTCAGCTGCGATGAAAAGAGGCGTGGCTCCACCTGCCACTTCAAGGTCCTTGTCCGCGCCGTTCTCCAGCAACAAGCGCGTGACTTCCAAGTGGCCTTCCGCAACTGCGACATGAAGCGGCGAGGCATCTTTTGTTTTGGCCACGCCTTTGTCCGCACCAAACTCCAGTAACAAACGTGCCACTTCCACATGGCCTTCGTGAGCTGCGAGAATAAGTGGGGTGGCTCCATTTTCCCTGGACAGCTCTATGTCTGCACGAGACTCCAGCAGCAAGCGTGCAACTTCCAAGTAGCCTTTCTGCGCTGCGATCATGAGTGGCGTGCCTCCATCTGGTCGGGCAAGGTTTTTGTCTGCACCAGCCTCCAGCAGCAAACCTGCCACTTTCAAGTGGCCGCGCGCAACTGCGACATGCAGCGGCGAGGCTTCTTTTGTTTTGATCAAGCCTTTGTCAGCACCAAACTCCAGCAACAACCGTGCCACTTCCACCCGGCCTTCGTGAGCCGCGAGAATAAGCGGGTTGGCTCCATTTGCCCTGGACAGCTCGATGTCTGCACCATGCTCCAGTAGCAAGCGCGCCAGTTCCAAGTGGCCTTTCTGCGCCGCGATCAAAAGCGGCGTGCCTCCATCCGACCTGGCAAGGTTTTTATCTGCACCAGACTCCAGTAGCAAGCCTGCCACCTCCACGTGGCCGTGCCGAGCTGCCAAAAAAAGCGGTGTTGCACCATTGTCCGCCGTGTTGTCCGTTCCCGCACCGGCTTCGATCAGCAGCCCCGCGGCCGATGTCTTGCCATACCGAGCTGCCACGTGCAAGGCTGTCATGTTGTATCGGCCGTACCGCCCCATTCGGTTCGGATCTTGCGGTCGCTGCAAGAGTGTTTCTACTTCATGTGTGTCGTCTGCCTCCACTGCACGGAACAGCCTGCCGACATGATCGGCAGAGGTCTCAGCAAAGTTCAAAAGAACCAAGTGCAAAAGGCCAGGCGCTTCCAGCAGCGCCTCATCCGACAAGATTCGCCCGCCTTCTTGCAAGAGCCGCTGTCGAAACCGGGAACATCCGCAGACACTGTGGAGATGGGTTTTAAGGGCGCGCACGTGGCCTGTAGCAGTGTCTCCAATCATGCTCAACAACTCCCGGGGCTCCAGGCAAGCAGCCTCTCGGCCACTGGCCATCAACTGAATCTGCAACATTGCCGCAACACTTCGATGGAGTGTAACTTGATTCCTGTTAAGTGTGCTCAGTGGACTTGCAGTTCTTACACAACATGCACAACAAGGAGGGGTTGGGGGGGGGGGGGGGGTTGAGGGATTTTAGGGCTTGGGCTTGGGTTCAAGGTTGAGGGGCTAGGGTGTTACGGTGCTTTTGAATTCGGAACCTTCCACTCTCACCCGTAGATGAATCTCAGGTTTCCAACATGTCTGCAAAGCCCTAAACCGCGAGGCCATGTCAGCTTTTGGAGTGGAAATGACAGCATTTGATGGGTGCGAGAAGAGCCGACGCTGTAGCAGAAGTCCTTTGAAGCACCTGCTGCTCATTCTCCTGATGCAGTGCTACACGATTTTTTTCGTCCGCCGGGTCACCGATCTACAGGCATTCCCGAAACATCGAAGCATCCAAAGAGACCCATCTTGCACAGGACCTCAAATTTACAGTTGCTGGCTGTTGGTTTCCCTTGCGAAAGAACTTCTTCGCTGCAAAAGGCACATGGAGAACCTGATTCCCAAAGTCCTTACTAGGAGCCCCTAGGGCTTTGGGGCTTCGGGTCTGAACTGCAGCGTCTTTCGCACAGGTACTCACACCCCAGGGGACGAGGACCCCGCCAGCACGAGAAGGACATCTCGCCAGGCTACGAGAGCGGCTTCCTACAGGGGTTTAGGGTTTAGGGTTTAACGGTCTAGGGTTTAGGGTTTAGGGTTTAGGGTGTAGGGTTTAGGATTTAGGATTTAGGATTTAGGGTTTAGGGTTTAGGGTTTAGGGTTTAGGGTTTAGGGTTTAGGGTTTAGGGTTTAGGGTTTAGGGTTTAGGGTTTAGGGTTTAGGGTTTAGGGTTTAGGGTTTAGGGTTTAGGGTTTAGAGGACTTAAGGCTTTGTGTTCGAGTTTGGAAGCTACTTGGAGGTTCATGGGTAGTGGTAAGTAGGGTGTAGCCAACTCTACTTATGCCCCCTATTTAGGGCACGTAGAACCGTACTGAGAACTACCTATGGACCTGCAAGTATGCTTTCTCAAGGTACACAAACGCCGGATGCTGCTCGAGAACTGCCCGGACTCCCGTGCCCAGCAAGTGTTCTTCCCGACCTGGGGCAAAAACAGTTCGCATGGCGCCAGACATCAGTCTGACCCCGAGTCGCACGCGCGAGTCTCTTAGCACCCGGCAGGACTCGGGGCGCTTCACGCCAGCTTCAGTGGCTTTGCGCAGGAAGCCGGCAAAGAAGAGTCGCCGCACCACAAGAGCCCAAAAATGCTACTGTTGAGGGGGGTGTGGTGGCGGAGACCCCCCTTTTCCGGCCCCCCGGGCTCCAGGAAGCCACAGGAGACCTGGAACCTGGAAAGGATTAGGGTTTAGGGTTTACGCGGGCCTAGCCCGGACGCGGCCGCAGCCACCTGGCTCGAGCCCGAGGCTGCGGAGTTCCCGAGGTGCGTTGCCCCTTCTTGTGTGGGGTGTCGGGTTTGGGGGCCTTTCGGGTTAGGGGGTTTAGGGGTTTAGGGGTTTAGGGGTTTAGGGGTTTAGGGGTTTAGGGGTTTAGGGGTTTAGGGGTTTAGGGGTTTAGGGGTTTAGGGGTTTAGGGGTTTAGGGGGTTAGGGGTTTAGGGGTTAGGGGGTTAGGGGTTTAGGGGTTTATATTAGGGGTTTAGGGGTTAGGGGGGGTGGGTTTTAGGGGTTTAGGGGTAGGGGGGGGTTAGGGGTTTAGGGGTTTAGGGGTTTAGGGGTTTAGGGGTTTAGGGGTTTAGGGTTTAGGGGTTTAGGGGTTTAGGGGTTTAGGGGTTTAGGGGTTTAGGGGTTTAGGGGTTTAGGGGTTTAGGGGTTTAGGGGTTTAGGTTTTAGGCTATAGGGTTTCAGAGGTCTTCGCGTCTGCTCGGGTCTCAAAGTTGCAAGGCGCGTACCTGAAGCACTACACCAAGCACACTCCAGGAAGCGACCCGAAAACTCCAAAACCCACATCTTCACACAAGGGTACTAACCGAGAACGCTGGAACGACATCAAGAACCTACGGACATCCCCCAGTCCATGGGGGGGGGTCTGGGGCTGGGTGCAATGCAACGACACCCGGAAGCCCAAAAACCCTAAACCCTAAACCCTAAACCCTAAACCCTAAACCCTAAACCCTAAACCCTAAACCCTAAACCCTAAACCGCACAGCTACAGGCTGAACCTGAGAGAAAGGATGGCTATCCCTGCGGCCCCTTCTGTCTCCTTTTGCGGGTCCTCCCAAGCTCCGGCAGCTCTTTGCGTGATGCCTTAAGGCGATGAGGGCAGCTGCAGGCACCCTTGGGTTTAGGGCTTAGGGCTTCTGCTGTTTAGAGTTTAGGGTTTAGGGTTTAGGGTTTAGGGTTTAGGGTTTAGGGTTTAGGGTTTAGGGTTTAGGGTTTAGGGTTTAGGGTTTAGGGTTAGGGTTTAGGGTTTAGGGTTTAGGGTTTAGGGTTTAGGGTCTGTTTAGGGTCGGCTTTCGAGTCCACGCGACACGGCACCTCTCACGCTTGGAAGCTCTTTCGACTGAGCAAGTAGGGTTCGTAAGTTGGGATATGGGGGTTTTTACTGGGGTTCTAAGGGGTACCAAGTAGACGTCCTCAGTCCACAGGGCTTCCAAGCAAGGTGTCCTCCGTGGTTGAAACGAACTTGGCCAAGTCAAAAAGAGTCTCAAGTGCAAGGCTTAGGGGCTGAATACCCTGCCCAAACAAGGTTAACCCCTTATTTGTAATAGATTATCTATATATATATATATATATTTATTTATATTTATATTTATATAGCCAAAAGGTTGTATTGTTAACTTCCCAGCCCTTCAGAAGGTTGGCTTCAGGGCCTCTGGCAGCGCAGGGGCCTTTGAAGAGTTATGCTTTTGGTTGTTGGCTTGGGGTTTAGGGTTTAGGGTTTAGGGTTTAGGGTTTAGGGTTTAGGGTTTAGGGTTTAGGGTTTAGGGTTTAGGGTTTAGGGTTTAGGGTTTAGGGTTTAGGGTTTAGGGTTTAGGGTTTAGGGTTTAGGGTAGAGGGTTCAGGGCTTAGGGTTTAGGGTAGAGGGTTTAGGGTTTTGGGGATTTGGGGTTTAGGGTTTGGCAAGCCCTCCGACTAAGCCGAGTCCCTAAGACGAGGTTCCAGATAATTCAAGTCACCAGGGAGCCAAAGCCTGTCGAGTTCGGGATCACAAGGTTGCAGTGTGCAGATGATGTGGGGCCGTAACCCTTCGACACACAGATGCTCTCATTGCAAATGCTGTACTTTACGGCTTTCGCTGATAGAATGATGGGCTTCGGCCACCTTTTGTCCACTTGCTGGGCACGAATGGAGCACGTCCATGAAATAATGGGCCAACACGCAGGCATGGCTACCCAGCAAAAGCACGGGCCCAAGCGACACGCAATGCACCGGAACGTTGCAATGCAAAGCGGCCCGCTGGACTTCTCCCAGGGCATCTTCCTCCATGCCAGCATCGTCTCCGAGCACCAGCAAGGGAGCGGTCTGGGCATCGACCACCTCGTGCATCGGCAGCCCATCTGGGTGCAGGATCAGAATGCATGGCCGGGCATCTGTCACTTGCAGATACTTCAGAGCGGCGGCAACAGCAGAGTAGAGGCTCTCATCCGTGAGGCTCATGCCGCGCAGGCACTTCTCCTGCGTCCACACTCAGCCGACAGCTACTGGCAGTCTTGGCCTAAGCTAGCTGCTTAACGTGACATCCAGGAACTCTTTTCAGCATTCATGTCTGGCATCTAAAGGACCCTCTTAACTCCTGCCCCCTAGATAGAACACAAAACCTCAACAAAATCCTCAGCACCCGTCCTCCTTGGAGCCAGACTCCTCCCCGCCCCTTGGCCGACCACCAGCCTTTCGCTGAGCTTTGTTGGAGGAGGTTTTCGATCATCCCAGCCCGCCTTGGACCCCCCCCACCCCCCCACCCCGGGACGTTCGGGTTTTGGGGCTGGAGGGCTCCCAGGTTCCGAGACCTTAAATGTCAGTCAGGTTTGGCTCGAGTGAGGGTTAATGTAGGGCCTAGTTACACAGAATGGGTACCTTGGGTAAAGCGGACATAAGTCTGGCGCATGGAAAGCGAAACACGAGCGACTTGCACACTCAGTGAATGAAGTTAGTGACCCAAGCAGTTGCAGTTTGTCATGACGTTTGCATTAGTGACCTGTTGTCACTAGAGTCTCTCAAGAATATGTTCAAGTGTAGCCTGATGGCGGCATACAGCAGAATGGGCACCTTGGGTAGTGTATGTTATCTTCATTTCCCACCCTCGGTGTTTGGTTGTTAGATGTTAAACTCTCCTCTCCTGGAACTCTTCTCCTCGCCCGGTCTACTCCTCGCTCATCCCTGGAGTGCCTAACCCAGAGTGTCCCTGGAGTACCCAACCCCGGACTGTCCGTGGAGTGCCCTCTACCCAGGGAGGGTGGGGATGTTCGAAAAAATGACATGGGGAGTATCAGGCACAACTCTTTAGGCTTTGTATTGCACGCTCACCTACGACCTCTCCTTTACAAGTGTCATGGCAAGACGACAACGATGGCTCTTCACATGATATCCCGAGTCCTGTGCTTGCATGTCATCGCTTCACAGGTTCTTCTCTTTTCGAGTTGATGTCGCCATCACTCATAGCCCCCTGAATGGTTACTTGAGTTTTCATGATTGCATTGAGGCACTCATGTCACAGTCCTGACTCGGCCCTTGTGATCTGTTTCATCCCGGCTGATCTCTGCCCCAGCTGGCCTGGAACAGGCGCTGTAGCAGGCAAGCGCCCCCACGCTCCTGGAGCAGGGTTTAGGGTTTAGGGTTTAAGGTTTCGGGTTTCGGGTTTAGGGTTTAGGGTGCTTTCCGGGCCTACAGCAGGAAGAGCTGAAGAGCGGTGAGGCGTTGGGATTGAAGGCTTTGGGGAATGTGAGCGTGTGCTGGATTGAGGGGCTTTGGGCGAAGGGTGGATCTGTATGGCCCAGAGTTCCCCCATCTTCCCGACAAAAAGCCGAAACCCGAACCCCGAACCCCGCTCGTCGGGGCGCCAGTGCTTCACCTTGCTGGCGCTTCAGGTCCGAGAGTTGGGACTTCTTGTTTCTAGGGGACTCCCATACATACCCTAAACCCCAAACCCTAAACCCCAAACCCTAAACCCTAAACCCTAATTTCCTGAGCTGCTTACGGCCGTCGAAGAAGAACATCGTGCTCTCCGGGGCTCCCAAGTTACCTCCGGGCCATGCACAGCCAGCGTCCGGTGCGGCAGCGACCCACCGAGGTGGACAAAGATGCTCGAGTTGCGGCGGACCTGATTCATGGTTGGGACAGTATCAAAAATTTGAATTTCTATTCCTTGTTGGGTTTAAGTACCCTGAAAAATGCGAAACGTTACTCGACTATGACGAAGGGACCCCATGTGAGGTGAAGAGGGCGGCGCTAATCACACGGCAGATGAGGTCAAAGCGACCCTCCGTGAGGTTGTTGAGCTTCACCTTGCTGGTGCTCAAGGCCCGGGTCCCTACTTGGAGGTTCATGGGACCTTCTTTTTCACTTACTGGGCTTATAACCCCACTTATAATTGGGATAACCCCTATAAGGCCCTTTAGTCAGTACCATGAACCTCCAGGTATCTGCAGAACCCCGCGTATCTACCTCTAGCAGCGCCGTAAATGTGGGCCCCTACTGCCCCCTTAAGAAACAGCAAGTCACCTCCATGCAGCCCGAGGTTTTGGCCAGCAGAAGGAAGGCGCGGGGCATACAGCCAGGGCCGCAAACTTCAGCCGCCAACATTGCCGAGGCCCGACAGAACCAACTTCAGCAACTCTACGACCGCATCCCCGAAAGAATATCTCGGTCTCCTCATACATCACCAACCCTAAGCCCAAACGTTAACTTGCTCATGGCCAGAGCCCGATGGAGAACACAACAAAAACAGCCTCACGTTATCAATCCTGAAACAGCTATCAACGCTGCTCAGCTCGGGTTTGGTGGGGGGGGGGGGGTGGGGGGGGGGGGGGGGGGGGGGGTGGGGGGGGGGGGGGTGGGGGTGGGGGGTGGGGGGGGGGGGGGGGGGGGTGGGGGGGGTGGGGGGGGGGGGGGGGGGGGGTGGGGGGGGGGGGGGGGGGGGGTGGGGGGGGGGGGGGGGGGGGGGGTGGGGGGGGGGGGGGGGGGGGAGGGGAATTTCAGCGTTTTTGTGCTGGATTTCCAAGAAAGATAAAGGTGAACCAAAAGAGAGCACAAGCAGAGACCATGTGAACTAGGAAAAAGACCAAGAATTGTTATCACCTTTATGTGAGATAACCGTCCCTGGAGGATGCTAAGAGGATTCTTGCAAAAAAACTGAGCAAGAGCCCCCTAAACAACGAACGGGGAAAGTAGTAAACTTCCTGGACAAGATTCTTGCGTGCATTAACCACTCACACTGATATTGGGGCATAAAAGTAGGAGAATTAACACCCGAAATGCCGCATCATTATATCATTGTTAATGTGTGTTCCTTTCCAATCAAAAGCGATATAATGCAAAGTTGGAGGCCGGGGCTTGGGGTTTAGGGTTCGGGAAACCCTAAACCCTAAACCCAAGAAACCAAAGTGCGGAAGCCTGAAATCCTAAGCCCTGGACCCTGAACCCTGACTGCAAGCTGCAGAGCACCAGAATGGGCCTCCGCCATGCAGTAGCTCTGCATGGCCATGCTGCGTTGCTTGCGGCACAAGGACGCGATATCGCACGCAATTGCGAAACCCTGTGTAATTTGAGGGGGGGGGTTCCTTGTTTTCAAGCTATCTCGACGCGGTTCTTTCTGCAGGGGTGTCCGTTACAAAGTACGTGGGCATGCGGGGCAGTTTAAATTTTAATTTTGCTTCAATGAGCAGTCCAGTACTTAAAAAAACATATGTATATATACAGAGATATAGATATAGATATATCTATACACAAAATCAGATGCACATGTTACATGTATCATTTGCATCTACTTGCTTATCGGTTGCTACCCCCATGCCCATCATCTTAGCTTCCTTGCGCCACTCGTTGACTTCGAGGATGCAGGATTGTGGGGTGGAGGGGTGGAGGGCTTGGGCTGTAGGGGTTTAGGGGTTTAGGGTTTAGGGTTTAGGGTTTAGGGTTTAGGGTTTAGGGTTTAGGGTTTAGGGTTTAGGGTTGGGCTCTTTTGGGTTCAGGGGGCATCTGCCGGATCCTAGACGTTGGGAATTGGCTTAGGGTTCAGGGTTGGGGTTGTGCCCATACTCTTCGGTTTGACCTCACAACAGGACGCGTGCATTCTTTGTTGATGAGCAAGATCGAGACGTTTGGTTTTGTCGATCGTCTCGATAGCAAGTTGTTGTATACTGCAAGTTGGCCAGGAAGGAAAGATTCAAGCAACTAACAGCAGCTGAAAAGAGGTACACCAGCGTGTAGTCAAAACGAAGACAAGTGCAAAATAATGTGATAAACTTGTGTAGCAACTGAGAAGTTTGTATTGACTGCAATTGAACACCTGCGTGGCCTCAGAAACGAAGAGTAATGATGAGCATGAGTGCTATAGCAACGACGCAATATGACTTTGCCTTTATCTGATCATGCGGTGCATTCATTTGCACCGTCTACCGGTTTGTTCTGTGCGCACAAGCTCCAAGCCAACAAGCCCTTACCACACACCAGGGGCCATAGTATCATGTATTGGGGTCTGTTTTGGTGGGTTGTTGATTGACAACCCTAAACCCTACAACACTAAATCCCGAATCCGCTACAACTTAAAACCCCAAACGCGAGCATCCTGAACCCTAAGCCCAAAAACCCCAAAACCCAAACAGCCTAAACCCTGAAACTCCAAAACCCAAAAGCCCCAACCCCAAACCCTTCTTTCGTGCATGGGCGAGCGCTGGGAGTCCACCAGTCCTTGCATCATCGGCAAGCTGCCGGACTCCTCCCGGCATGCCCCGAAGGAGGTGTCATCCGTGAATTCGGCTAGAGGGTTTAGGGTTTAGGGTTTAGGGTTTAGGGTTTAGGGTTTAGGGTTTAGGGTTTAGGGTTTAGGGTTTAGGGTTAGCACAGCCACTGAGAATCCTCGTAATACGAGGTACCGAGTCCACCTCAGCATGCACGTAGCATCCGCTGGCTTGGCCGGGGGAGCTATCTCTGTTCTTCGGGAGCCTTCAGGGGTTGTAGGGGCTTAAGATTTAGGGTTTAGGGTTTAGGGTTTAGGGTTTAGGGTTTAGGGTTTAGGGTTTAGGGTTTAGGGTTTAGGGTTTAGGGTTCAGGGTCTAGGGTCTAGGGTTTAGGGGTCCAGGGTTCAGGGTTGACGGTTTACAGGAAAAAAGCAGCCAAAGCGTTGCGGGCCAGCAGAACCAAGGCATCGTAAGGAACGAGATCTCCCCTTGGGGCTACTTTCGAGTCTGGGTTTGGGGCAGAAGGGCTTCAGAGAAGTTCTAGGGGCTTCAGGGCTTGAGGGATGTAGGGGCTTGGGGCGTAGGGATTCCGGGGTGTAGGGAAGAGGGTTTAGGGCTTAGGGTTTCGGGTTTGGGGTGGCTCTTAACATTCAGAAGCTTCTTGGAAGCTTCTTCAACGGAATGCGACGATTGGCCAGAAGCGCAGCAAGCATCACGCCGGCGATACAGCGCTAAACACAACCTAGAAGCTTGACTTCAATACCCAAACCCTAGCTAACCCTTCAAAAACGAAGTGTCAATAGGCCCTGGCCTTAAGCAACCCCAACCTGAAACACTTTCTTCACATTCAGGTCCTTGATGACTGCATTTTAGGGCTTAGGGTTTAGGGTTTACTGTAGGGCTTAGGGTTTAGGGTTTAGGGATGAGGGTTTAGGGTTTCGGGAATGTTCGGGTGACTAAGGCCCCTGGCACAAGACACTCACACGGGGCTGAGTGGCACGACATCATCCTGTGAACAGTAGCTACAAGACTTCCGTCCTGCATGACTGCCGCACTCCTATCCGGCGCAGCGCATTCCCAAAACTGCACGGAGTCTGAATGACTCGTTCGTTTGCCAGGATACAAAGCCACTGCAAGCCAGGCCCAGTGCCCAAACTCGAACCCTGAACCTATCAGGATTCAGGGCTATGGTCTGGGTTCGGGGTTTAGGGTGTGGGTTCTGGGTTCAGGGCTTTGGATCTCAAAAGACTCGGCCCTGGATCGGGGAATCCCCGCAACCGAGCGAGGGGTAACTGGCTGCCAGGCTTGGGGAACAGAGTGGCATCAACTTTGGCACTCAAGCGCCGAAGATAGTAAGAGTACAAGTATCAGCATCGGCAGGGGTCCGCTTGCTGACTTCACCCGAACTGCTGCACGAGCGTTTGAGCTACTCTTCCGAGGAAACCATGCTACAACAGCCTCGGAACCCGCACCCAATGCTGTAGGATTTCTCGCTCCCTGAACCGTCTGGCTCGGGGCGAACAGGGCACATGGCCTGGGATAGAGGATGCTCAAGAACTATTCACACGGAGGGGTTGTTCTAATTAGGGCCCCCTTCTTTGTCAGGAAGCCCTATTGTTAAGGAGACGTGTATGAAGAGGCCCTAACCTTAAGGACAACTCCACAGTTCACGTTTGGAGAACATCCTGAGAGAATGGCTTCTCATCCCACACCTTGCCAAGTTTGTTCGAGGAACCTAACACCCAATTCAGGCTTGTGGATCCCGTGGATATCAGCAGGGCTGGACGAAGGTGCTCTCCGCTGCCTGAGCCGGAAGTCGACGCTAGGGCTCCCGGAGGTTCATGAGTATAGGGGATCCGAGGTATGGGGCCTTAATTTGGGCCCCTTATTCCATAACCCCTATATGCCCTACATATAGTAAGGGCTCATACTTCGGATCCCTACAAACAAAGGTGGGGGACCACACTAAGGGCCGATGGTTCCGACCTTAGAGAGAATGGTTCGAGAGTAGGGTTCGAAGTATGATAACGAGGCTTAGAACCTTACCGAGGGCACTTTGCTACCCTACTTAAAACTACCCATTGATTTGTGGTACAACAATTCTTTGGAACCTTCTTTAAAGGTACTTACAACCCTACCTATCACTTCCGATTTCTTTGGGGCCTTGGCTTTGTTGTTGCGGTCCTGTCAAAGCCCGCTGCTGCAAGATGCGCAGTTGCCCAGAACCACTAAGAGACTGATGTAGGGTTGAGGGTTTAGGGTTTAGGGTGTAGGGTTTCGGGTTTCGGGTTTTGGGGTTTGGGGTTTGGGGTTTGGGGTATGGGGTATGGGGTTTTAGGGTTTTAGGGTTTTGGGGTTTTGGGGTTTTGGGCTTGGGGTTTGGGGTTTGGGGTTTGGGGTTTGGGGTTTGGGGTTTGGGGTTTGGGGTTTGGGGTTTGGGGTTTGGGGTTTGGGGTTTGGGGTTTGGGGTTTGGGGTTCAGAAGTACAACATCCATACATTGACACCAAGTAAGCCCTGCCCGCCATGGAGCCAAGGTGGATGATGAGGGGAACGCGTTGCGCCGTTGCGCCATTGACTATTTCTAGAGGCATACCTAGTGACCCATTGCAAGCCAAGAACCCCACACCTCGTTTTGTTTAGGGCTGCCATGGAACATCACTCACATCACTCAGCCCGAAAGCCCGAATCCCTTTATCCCAAACGCTAGAACCCCCTGAACCCTCAAATTCCTGGGACCCTAAACCCTAAACCCTAAACCCTCAACCCAAAGGCACCTCCGATTGAGCGGATGTGGCCGGTCGCAGGTCCAGAGGCATCGGGAAGGGGTCGAGGTCATTTGCCTGCTTGAATCGTGGGTTTCGGGCTTAGGGTGGGTTTGGAGCTTGGGATCTAGGGCTTTAGGGGCCAGAGTGCAGCACGGCTGTCAGTTCTTGAGCCACTAAAACCTCTTAGCAACTGCCGCCGCAGACCCTAGACCGCACAACAGAACGCTGCCCAGCTGATCTGATCCTCTTGAATGGGCAAGTCCGCAAATTGCCCAACCCAACCTTGACTCGATCGCTTGTCTCCCGGAAGAGATCCTCTCGCATGGCCTTCCTGAGCACGGGGTTCTCCAAGTGTCTCAGGGCTTTGAAGGGGGAAGCTTTTCAGGGAGCAGCGGCCTGTGTAAGGAATGAAGGCAGCTGGTGTGGAGAACAAAACAGCAACCACGTCGTCTATTCCTGACTCGCGGCTCCTCATGTTCCTGACTCATCCCTGTCGCATTTCCGACACCTGTGTGCCGGACACGACGAAGATGAATCTGCCACGACGGCAACTATGCACTCTTGGGGGCGGGGTCTTTGAGGGATAGCAAGGCGCACGACATGAGGTTCAATTGTAGTTCCAAGTAGGGTTATATAAGTACCCCAGATAGGGTGATAAGTATAGTTATCATACTTATAACCATACTTATAACTACCCCCACATGAAGCTTCAAGTAGACTCCTAGGCACGCAAGAGGGAAGACTAATCAGTCGAATCACAGAAGCATCACCGGCATCTTCTCCACCGACGCCCCGCCGAGATGGAACGCATTCACAGCGGTGGTGGCCTTCCTGCAGCACGGAGAAAGCATGCTTTGGGGCTTCTTTTAGGGTTTAGGGTTTAGGGTTTAGGGTTTAGGGTTTAGGGTTTAGGGTTTAGGGTTTAGGGTTTAGGGTTTAGGGGTTAGGGTTAGGGTCTAGGGATGTTCCTTGTTATACTAACAGTCCTTAGAAAGGATTGTAAGAGGGGTACTATAATCCCTATTAAGGACTGTTACTACAGGGGGGAAACATCTCAACCCTGAAACCCTAAAACCACTAAACCCCAAAACCCCAAAGCCCTAAAACCCTAAAGTTTGGAGGTCCCAGGTTCTTGGGTTTAGGGTTTAGGGTTTAGGTTTTAGGGTTTAGGGCAGCTTGGGAGTTACTCCCTACATGCAACAGCCCCACACAAGGCCATCTAAGAATAGTTTTTGTGGTGGTTGCGGTGCTTTTAGCTTTGAGGGTGTAAGTGTCCAAGGCTTTAGGGTTTAGGGTTTAGGGTCTAGGGTTTAGGGTTTAGGGGTTTAGGGGTTTAGGGGTTTAGGGGTTTAGGGGTTTAGGGGTTTAGGGGTTTAGTTGAGGCTTAGGGTTTACCTGGAAGATTGCCATGATGGTGCAAGCATGGCCCGGGCGCCTATGAATAAGGAACACCAAGACTCACAAATTCTCGAAGGCCTAAACCCCCAAACCCCCCTAAACCCCAACAGCACCCCACAGAAAGGCCCATGAACACCCATAAAGACTCCCTGAAAGGCAGCCCATCAATTCTATAAATCCAAGGGTCACTGAGAAGGGCTCCGCAACAGACAGCGGGAGAAAGGGCATGGTGCAGAAAAGCCTCGGCTCCTGAGGCGCGCGATGTTCTGCAAGGGAGCTTTGGGATTTAGCGGAGTTTCGGCTGAGTGTTGCGGAACTCGGGCGCTTAGCAATGGACAAACGGTTCTCACTCGCTCCTTGCATCAGGTGCCTCGGCCTCAACCAGTCCTCTCCATACAAAGACCCTAAACCACTAGGCTGGAAATGCCAGAACATTCCAATGGATCAGGAGCACGTCCAAAAACGACGACGGTTTCGCATTTCGCGAGCCCACTGTCCAACAGCGACGACAGTTTCCGGAACGGCGAGCGCGGCCGCGCCTGCGCCTGGGCGAGAACGCGATTTTCCGTCCAAAATGCGCAGGCCTTGAGAGAGAAACTTAGGGTCCGCAGCGCGGGCGCTTGGGGCAACCACTACGGCGATCTAAGCCCCTCTTGTTCTTCACGCAGGAACAAGATAGTGTCGACACACTGTTTGGGGAATAAGCCTGTATACCTAAACCCTAAACCCTAAACCCTAAACCCTAAACCCTAAACCCTAAACCCTAAACCCTAAACCCTAAACCCTAAACCCTAAACCCTAAACCCTAAACCCTAAGCCAACCCTAAACCCTAAACCCTAAACCCTGAAACCCTAAAACCCTAAAACCCCAAACCCTAAAACCGAGGCCCCACATGCCGGCCTTGATGACGTCGCAGGTCAAAAGGCGCGACTCTGGTGCCCCAGTCCTGGGCTGCTTCGAGCTCTTCATGTGGCGGTCTCAACGCCTGGCTTAGGGCCTAGGGCTTAGGGTTTAGGGCTTAGGGCTTAGGGCTTCGGGCTTAGGGCTTCGGGCGTAAGGCTTAGGGCTTAGGGCTTAGGGCTTAGGGTTTAGGGCTTAGGGCTTAGGGCTCAGGGCTTAGGGTTTAGGGCTTAGGGCTTAGAGCTAGGGCTTAGGGATTAGGGCTTAGGACTTCCCCAACACCATCTCAAGAGCTGCAACTTTAGGGCCACAGCGACTTATGCACAAGCACAACAAGCACAAGCATGCACCAAGCTTATCCTTACAGACTTGGGATGCTCCCCTTATACGAACAGAGGGATTACCCTCGACATAGGGGGAACATCCCAATTGGAGACCTTTGTTCAGCCCCCTAAATTTCAACATTGGATTGCTGAGCTCCAGCTCCCGAAGCCCCCCCACCTCCAACTTCAGGTTCGCGGTCTGGTGTTTTTGGGACTTAGGGTTAGGGTTTAGGGCTTAGGGCTTGGGGCTGAGAGTTTAGCATTTTTAGGTTCTAGGGCTTAGGGTGTAGGGTTTAGGAGTCCCTGACCTCCCAAAGCCGAAAACGCAGTGCGAACCTTGAACTCGAGGAGTGTCAAACCCAACCCCCCAACACAAAAAGAATAAAAGAGTAACAAGTACGAGTAACAAAACAAAAAGAGTAGCTCTAGCGAAATAAACAAAAACACACACACACACACACACACACACACACACACACACACACACACACACACACACCCACGCACACACACACACACACACACCTTCGTAGTCGCAAGAACCCTGACAACACAAAAAGAAGTCAGGCTGAGCCCCCCCCGGGTGCAGTGAAGCAGCTGAGGCCGGCCCGGGTCATCGAGGAGCTTGTAGAACTTCGCGGCCTGGCTCAGAGAGCGAAGGGGCCCGGAGCCGATGCGATGAAGGTAAGTCAAGAGCTATTTGTACGTTCACATTATGAGTGATGCGCTATATGGGGGTTTACGATCTTAGGGGTACCTCATTGGGGTCCTCATTATAAGGGGACCCTACCATTTGGGATCAAATACAGGGCCCTGTCTTCGTAAACCCCCATATTAGCGCTTTACAAAATGCCAAGGATGTGCTACGGCGTATCTTCAATGTCAAGAAATTGACAATTCCATTCAGAATGAATAGCTTCACACCGCATGCGAGCATCATCACGGAAGATCTAGCGATTCGGCTGAGGAATGTATGAGCTTGGAACTATAACGGCACTGCTCATCAGCAGTCCAAAGAGGCTGATGCTGTAGGGCCTTTGGATATTGCCCAGCAGTTGCATTTCATGGGCACGCACGCTCCAAAGCGGCCCCAACATGTGGAGAAGCCACTTTTAACTGAGGCCATTTTCAAGAGGTGCGTGCGACACGCAAGGCACGACGCATGTCATGGATCAGGGTGATCCATCCTGGTGGCACAATTTTCGTAGCACAGATAAAGGACGCTCCAAGCGAAAGGGAGCTTAAGACTAAACGGCGTTCCAAGCGAAAGGGAGCTTAAGACTAAACAAGTGGCTGAATCTAAGGGACAAGCCGTGTTGATCGGGACTTCCATGAGAGAAAAAACTGGGTGAATTTCATGGTTGGCCTCTGCAAGGTCCCAAAAAATCTAACCACTTAACATTTCCTGAGTGATGGCTCTGATCAAACAAACTGGTTTAGGGTTTACTTAGTAGGGTTTAGTGTTTAGGGCTTAGGGTTCAGGGCTTACAGTTTGGGCTTGGGATTTGCCAGTCCTGCCTTTGCAGCTGCAGTAAGTCAGTGTTGCGTGAATGACTTGAACCGAGGACAGTCCCAAATGAGGTGTTGCTCATCCGCTTTCGTGAAAACAAACTGAAAGCGCGCCGCGCAGAAAATTCCCGTCTTGAAAAGCCATAGTAACGAAACATCTAAAATTGCTTCCAAGCACCCCTAAGCTATAGGGTGCAGCATGAGTATTCCCAAAAAGGCGACATAACGGCACTTGAAGAGCATTGGCGGCTCAAAGTTTCATTGCTGTCGGCTTGGGAGGACAGTTTTTCTTAAGTTTCCTCCTGCTAGATGTGAACCATGGCACAATAGTAGCAGAAACTCCGTTCCACCCAATCGGACCCATGTGTCCCCGCTTTGCAGAAAGATGTCGTGTTGCTGAGCTGTGCCTTCAGGATGTCTTCGTCGATGAAAATTCGTTCGACACAGCTTGCCATTCAGCAGAAGAGGGTTTTAAAAGACCCTCTTTTGGTTCTTAAAAACCCGATTTAAAAAAGCAATCCGACCTGGAATGGTGTTGGCAATTTGGATATCGGGGCTTCCCCCGCAATGCATCGCAGCATGGAAGGGTCAATCATGTGTGTTACCCTAAACCCTAAACCCTAAACCCTAAACCCTAAACCCTAATTTGCTCATTGAGTAACGTGTGTGCCTCCAATGCCTGACAATTCTTTGTGCGGAGGTTGCCATCTGAGCTACTTGGAGGTTCATGAGACTTGCCAACCACTGATAACTGGGCGAATAACCCTACTTATAGTAGGGATAACCCCTATAAGGCCCTTTAGGGGTATTATAAGTAGGGTTATAAGTACAGTTACCATGAACCTTCAAGTAGGCCAGGCCTGACAGCCACGCATGGATAGGTTGTTGTGTCAATTTGGGTTTAGCAGCCTTTTGAAAGGGTCGCGATAGGTTTGTTGATAATGGGCTCATAGAATTTTGCGGCTGAGAAACCTTAACAGGGACGAGGAACACCCGGTAAATGATGAGCTGTTGACTGGGCAACTTCCCCTTCCGATGCATCAAGCCACCACACATTCTGATCAGGCAGGTCGCTTTTGCTGGTCTTCAGCTTCTGCTGTTGTGTATTTTTGTAGGGATTGCGAGGGGACAGGGCTTCGGGATTCACTAAGGGGGCATACAGGAGTCTGAACTAATCCCAAAACTCCTACATTATGAGAACCCTAAACCCTAAACCCTAAACCCATGCAAAAATTAGATTCGAGACAAACTGGCCCTTGCGTTTTGCTTTCCTTCCTTGAGGGTCTGGGGCTCCCTGGCCTCGGTCTCATCACCAAAGTCCGCAGGCTGCGATCGGAAAGAGCACACCAGGGAGGTCTGGCCCTTCCGCAACGCTGCGACATAAAATAGCGGCCCTAATAAATTAAAGGGACCATAAGGGAATACTAGTAGTAATTACTCCGACCCCTATAGTAAGGGTTTAAGGCATTTAGTTTATAAAGCCTCGGGGCTTAGGCTTTTATGAGCTTATAGGCTAGCTCGCACGTCCATGCACCCCCGGACATGCTTTGGGCTACTTGGAAGTTCATGGGCTTGTTGTACGTAGGGTTAGAAGTATGGCATACACAGATAGCCCCACATAGGGTACTTATAACCCTACTTATGACTCTGCTGGGTGATCCTACAACCAATTGTCGAATCCTACTCCCCCCCACTCCAGACCGGGCCGTCCTCTTTTTTCATGTTCAGAAGGCGCCGATTTCGCCGGGAAGACGTCGAGTACTGGCTGTAGGCAGGAAGGTCCGGGAGCCGCGAGCGCGTCAGGGGCGTGTGCCGATGCGCATAGGCCCAGTTCTCGCTGGCGTACTTGTGCCTCTGGAACCGCACGCTGCCGTCCCTGGAGAGCTCGGGCTGAAAGGGTTTCAGGAGACGTAGGGTTTTAGGGCTTAGGGTTTAGGGTTTAGGGTTTAGGGTTTTAGGGTTTAGGGTTTTAGGGTTTTAGGGTTTAGGGTTTAGGGTTTAGGGTTTTAGGGTTTACTGTAGGGTGTTGGTTAGCACTGGGCTTCGGCTGTGGGCTTTTGAGGACTCAAAGAGCCTTGCAGAAGCTCCAAGCACGAGGGGCTCAGGGTCAAGAATTTCAAGGGCATGCAAACACTTTGGATGTCAAATCCTATATATTCTTACGTATTCATTTACTATATACGTATATGACCATATATATATATATGTATATAGATATATCTATACATATATATATATATATGTATACGTCTTTGTTTTTTGTTTTACATGTTTTTGTATGTTCATGTTTATATTTGTATATATTTATATACACACAGTATTGTAGCCTCTTTGTGCGGTAATTACCCTAAATAATAGGGGTCGCCTAATAAGAAATCACCTACATGTATAATAGCTTATGTACAGCATGAAAATACAACCCACAACCCTCACGACACTCCTTGACTCTCCAAAGCCCCTCAGCCCTACAGGTTTCGGCACCCCTAAACACTACACCCTGAACCCTAAACCTAAACCCTAAATAAACCCTAAACCCTACAGACCATGGTTCCCTAGGCTTGGATACCCGTCGTCGCGGCCAAGATTGTGGTGCCTTGGTGGTGGTGGCGGTACGTCGTCGTCGTAGCTCCCAGAGACTCCAATACCCCTGAATTAAGGAATATTCCTCAAAAAATGGTGTTCTTAGATGGTTTAAGGAAAATTCCTCAAACAAATTGGGTTCCTTATATAGTTTAAGGAATATTCCTTAAGGGGTTGTGGTCGTGGTAGTGGCCGTGCCAGTGGTCGTGGTAGTAGCAGTAACAATAGCCGAAAGCTGCCAGAGTAATAAACATCAGCATGATGACGATGGATGATGCTAAACCCTGAAAAACCTAAACCCGAAACCCTAAACCCCAAACCCCAAACCCTAAACCCTAAACCCTGTTTTGGGCTGAGGCGTGCACCTGATGAGGTATGCGGCTGGCTCAGCAGACACGATGCCCTCGATCATGAACTCGAACTGCGGTGGAAACACCTGGGTGCCAGGGCTTAAGGGTTAGAGTTTAGGGTTTAGGGTTCAGGGTTTAGGGTTTAGGGTTTAGGGTTTAGGATTTAGGGTTTAGGGTTACTGGTTTTGAGTGGGGAAGGGAGCCCAAAAAAAGTCCCTTACAAGTGTACCCAATGCCCTACTTCCTGCGAAGAACTAGGAAGCTTAAGTTTTTGGAGCAACCCGCCTTACTAGTTCTTTGTAGGGGACGAGGTACCGTACGTAATCTCCTCAACCCTAAACCCCAAACCCTAGTCTTTTAAAGGGGAGACAAAGTACCTACTTCCCGAATCCCTAGTAAGGGCTCCTAAACCATGGATCCTCCAGCGACCGGAGCCCAATGTCACTGGATTGTAAGGAATATAGGATAGGGGCCTACATGATTAGAATAGGGCTTTGGGGGTTCTTATCGTCTACTTCTACAGGACCATAGAGGGAATTCTATTTGTGGCTCTTCCGACCCCCCTATGGTAGCTGAGAAGGCTGAGGATCCTCCAATGTGACGTAAGGTAAGCTTGGGGATGTTCCCCTTATACTAACAGTCCCTCATAGGGATTATGTTCTCCTTATACGTAACAGTCCTTAATAAGGATGATTATTTTTAGGGGCTCTGTACTCATTATAGCACCCTATTCTTAGTCGCTCTTAAGGACTGTTAGTATAAGGGGGAGCATCCCAAGGTACACTCCTTAGATGCCATCGGGATCACTCCGTCGAGCCCACATCTGCCAAGGGGCCCTCTCTTGGAAGTGCACGCAGGGGTGGACGCCATTGGTATACTCCAGGCGGATCAAGCCTCTTGTAACTGACAAGGAGCCCTGACACCTTGGGGCTTAGGGTTTAGGGCTTAGGGTTTCGGGTGGTTTAGGGTTGCTGGGGCAAAGGGCTTTGAACCCTGAAGCACCGCCAAACAAAAGCCGCTTAGAACATCCTCTCAAGTTCCTTGCATGGGGTCTTCATTGCTTGAATCCCCAAAGGACACCTCACACATACACGCACCCAATTCTACCCCTACATGCACGCACCAAGAGCCATAGTAAGAAACCCTGATGCTTAAAGCGCTTGTACTACCCGAGATCGCTGAGCCTTACTCTGACCCTAAACCCTGAACCCTAAACCCTGTTACTCGACAGTTGGCTTAGGGTTTAGGATTTAGGGTTTAGGGGTGTAGGGCTTAGGGTTGAGGGTGTAGGGTTTTAGGGTTTTGAGTTTAGGGTTTAGGGTTTAGGGTTTAGGAATTAGGGTTTAGGGTTTGGGGTTTGGGGTTAAGGGTTTAGGGCCAACAAACACCCATGCAGCTGCCTGGGAGGTTGACGTTGAAAAACCGCATCATCGCCAAGCACTCCTAGGCTCGAGGCAGCTTTTCAAGCCGCCTCGTGGACTGTTTTCGGTTTTTGTGGGGATTTGGGCTTTTCGGGTTTTAGGGTTTAGCGTTTGGGGTTTTGGGGATTTGGGTTTGGGGTTTGGAGTTTGGGGTTTCGGGTTTCGGGTTTCGGGTTTGGGGTTTGGGGCAGCCTGAGGGGCTTCCTCAGGGAGCCCAAGGCACCTGGGTTTGGGGTTTAGGGGTCAAAGGGAACCCCACCTCCTTATTGTGAGAAGCCCCGCTTTATGGGTCTTATTATGGAGTAAGTTGTGCTCCTTCATCAAGCGGCACTGCAAAAAGCTAAAGGATCTCAAATGCATCCAATATATGGGACGTTCCCCCTTATACCAACAGACCTTAATAGGGATTAGAGTACCCGCTATTATAATCCCTAGTAAGGACTGTTAGTAAAAGTGAACACCCCAATATAGCAACTTTAAGCAATTCCCAAGTCCCAGAACCCCAAAACCCCAAATTTCTCAAAGCCTTGGGTTTGGGATGTTCCCCTTATACTAACAGCTCCTGAATAGGGAATACAATAAGTCAAGGACTGTTAGTATAACAGTCCTTAAGAGTGATTCGAATACGGGGTACTCTAATCCCTCGCAAGGACTGGGAGAACAGCCCAACCCTAAACCCTAAACCCTAAACCCTAAACACCCTGGGTGATGGCAGCACGGTCTCCTCGTATTGGCTTTCTTGGTTGGGGGGGAAAATGGGGGGGGGGGGGGTGCGGTTTAGGGCTTGTGGCATAGCTAAAACCCTAAACCCTAAACCCTAAACCTGGAGTTTGGGGCCCAACACGCAAACCCCCTAAACCCCTAATCTTCCAAAACCCCGACCCACGAAACTCCAAGAAGTAAAGCCCTCAACCTGAAACCCTAAACCCTAAACCCTAAACCCCTAAACCCTAAACCCTAAGCCCTGCTTAGTTAAAGCACCCGAAATCTGCAGCCGGAGCATCCTTAAGGACTTCCAGGAAGATGTTCTTCCCGACCACCAAGAACTTGCAGTTCCTGGGATCTGCGAATCGAATACATCGGGTTCAGGGTTTCGGGCTTAAGGTGTAGGGTGTAGGGTTTAGGGTTTAGGGTTTAGGGCTTGCTGTGATAGGGCGTGGATGCTGTGAAGGTTAGGTCTCGGAACAAGCTCGAAAGCTTCGTGAGGTGCGAAGAGCAGCTCTGGCCCGATTGCGGAGGGCCATCTAACACTTTTCTCCCACCAGGCGGCAGAGCCGCCCAAATCTATTCCTTTTAGGGTTTAGGCCTAGACTCAGACAACAGTCCACTTCTAAACAACTTATTCAGTTTCATGGCGTTCGTTGGGCCCGAGAGTCAAAGGAAAGGGCCCAGGGCCCAGGAGGTCAGAGAGGGGGGCCACACCCGCCCTGCTCCTGGCCTAGGGCCCCGGGGGGGAACGCCCAATAAGGCCAGCGACCCCCCAAGGTCAGGGGGGTCTAGGGTCATTACTTGATTTATAAGGGACCAGTACTGGTCCCGAGGAGAACGTGTTCCGGTACCGGGCCCATCGCGGGCGCTACTGACCCCCATGCTGTGGGAGGCGGGTCGGCTTATGCCATCGAGGTCGAAGGGCTTCAGCGCCGCCCCCCAACGTAGGGGGGCGGCCCTGAGTTTAGGGTTTAGAGGCTACCCCAAATACTGGTTAGTTAGAATTTTAAAAAAACACATGGACTGGGACCCTGAATCCTCGAGAATGGGTATTTGGTCCCAAACACGGGGGATCTCGTATTCGCCTTTCAAATATCTTGGGCCATTCTGCCAAACCCCACAATATAACAATACAAAAATCTGTTTTGTAGTAATACAGAAATAAAACAATACTGATTCATACTCAACATAGCAAAAAAATGTCATAGCGACAACTACACTAATAACAATAAGAAGAAGAAGAAGAAGAAGAATGAGAACCATAAGAATAATAAGAATAACAACAACAATAATAATAGTAATAATAATCATCATCATAAAAAAACGAATAATACTAATAATAATAAGAAGAATAATTTTAATAATAATAAGAATAGAAAGAATAAGAATAAGAAAAAGAATAAGAATAAGAATACTAACAACGTTCAAAACATAGCATAAGGCCAGACCCTAACCCCCAACCTTGAAGCCCGGGCTCTCGGCGCAGCGGATGGTGGCAGCCCGGGGCTCACTGTTGCGCAGACCGAGCTCCCCGACCACGGCTCCGGGCCTCGGAGTTGGGGGGAGGTTTTGGGGGTTTAGGGGGTTCGGGGTTTTGGGGTTTAGGGTTTAGGGTTTAGGGTTTAGGGTTTAGGGTTTAGGGTTTAGGGTTTAGCGTTTAGGGTTTAGGGTTTAGGGTTTAGGGTTTAGGGTTTAGGGTTTAGGGCTTTAAGGTTTTGGGGTTTCACTAGGGGTCAGGGCTTCGAGGTTTAAAGATTTCTCAGCTCCTTGGCTCTGGAGGCGTTTCAATCTGAGCTTGCGTGTCTGGGGTTGGATGAGAGCTGTTAAAGGGATTTGGGGTTTGAGGGCTTGCGGTATTAAGGAAGGTTTGCGCGGGTTTGGGTTTGGGGTTTCGGAAGAAGTAGGGCCTGGGGAGCCTCCCAGCTTCCCCCCGCTCTTTTGAAAGAGGTTAGGGCTTACATTGTAGAGTTTATAAACCCTAAACCCTAAACCCTAAACCCTGGTTTCATAGGGTGTAGGGTTTAGAGTAGGGTTTAGGGCTTAGGGTTTAGGGTTTAGGGGTTAGGGTTGAGGGTTCAGGGTTTGGGGTTTAGGATTTAGTTTTTTGGGTTTAGGGCCGAGAAGCTTGAGCGTGGTCACCAGCTTCCCCATCTTCGAATCCTTCGGGGCGAAACCTAGAGAAGCCTAAAAACCCTGGCCCCCCCCCCCCCCCAAACTCCAAAAAACGACGCACCATAAATGGGCGCAGTAGAGGTGGAATCCTATCTTCAGGCACCGCGAGTCTTGGGCCTCCAGGAGCTTCGGGATGCTCTTGCTGAGGCGCTAGGCGCATCTTCTTGTTGAGGGAGGGCCGGGGGGGTAAGGGGGGAGGGGGGGGTAAGGGGGGGGGGGGGGGGTAAGGGGGGAGGGGAGGGGGTACGTATACATGCACATATGCATATGCACATGCAGATGTGCATATGGCATTGCATATACACATACGCATATACATGCACGTACATCTGCACATACATATACATCTACATACAAACTATGCAAATGTCAGTTCTGTCCAATCTTAATTCACGCAGATGCAAGGTTACCTTTATGGTTCGATGCGTAAAGCTTCGATTTCATAACCAGCAACTTCCGGCTCACGACCGGTAGAGGCCCATCCTGGGCAAAGGTGCTGAAGCCTTCGCTCGTCTTGTAGCGCGTGAACTCGCCGGGCCAGGGATCAAATTTGTCTTGGCTGGCGAGCGATGGGCGAGGGATGTCAGTCCTTTGTGGCTACTTAAGGTATATAGGGGCTTTGTTTGTGTGTATATATATATGCATATATGTATAAATAAATAAACCACACCAAGCTGCAATTGGCCTCTTCGGGCCCAAATTCAGGAACGAAAGTTTTAAGGCACATGGCGCCGAACATGTGCAAAACTGTCGGGAGCTGGGACCAAGACCCTGCGACCTCTGAACCAGCTGCTCATGGTCCCAAGCGTCTCTTGAGGCCGTTCTTCTTGGTGGTAAGGCCTCTCTTCTTGTTTTCCTTTTCAGCCTGCACAGCAGCCCGAAAAAGGGAGGGACCCTGAACAGGGACCCCATGTGCGTAGCTTGGAGTTTATGGGGTTGGGTTTAGGGCTAGGGTTCAGGGTTCAGGCTGTTCTTTGTGTGTGTGTGTTTTCTTTTTTTAATGGGGAGGGGGGATTCAGGCTGTAGGGCTTGGGATGAGGGATGCTAGCCATGACCAAGGACGATGGGACTGGGCCGCAAGGCTCCGCAGATGCCGTCAACCCTAAACCCTAAACCCTAAACCCTAAATCCTGAACCCTGAACCCTGAACCCTAAACCCTAAACCCTGAAGCCTAAACCCTAAACCCTAAACTCTAAACCCTACACCCTACCCCTAAACCCTAAATCCTAAACCCTAAACCCTAAACCCTAAACCCTGAACCCTGAACCCTGAACCCTAAACCCTAAACCACCCCCTGCCTCCTTCGCCTGCTTCCAAAGAAGATGTGCCTCTGTGAGGGTCGTCTTCTTGTCCGTGGGCTCCTCCCAGGATTCGAAGGTGTGTGCCTAAACCCTAAACCCTAAACCCCAAACCCTAAACCCTAAACATTGCTATTGTCATGACGATGATGACTAGTAGTACTAACAGCCTCAATGGCTCAAGCTCTGCTGGGTCGAACGCAGAACGGGGCCTCTACCTTTCATCGCTCGAGGGCCCCAACCCTCGTTTGCAGGTAGGGTTTAGGGTTTAGGGTTTAGGGTTTAGGGTTTAGGGTTTAGGGTTTAGGGTTTAGGGTTTAGGGTTTAGGGTTTAGGGTTTAGGGTTTAGGGTTGCTCGAGGGTTCCAACCCTCGTTTGCAGGTAGGGTTGAAGACCTATCCCTGCGTTTTCAAGGGGTTACCAGCCTAGGGGCTTATGGTGAAGACGTGCGGACATTCGTGCTAAGTTTGCTGAGCTTCGGTTACAGTGAAGCTATCGCATTTCGGGTCCAGCCGATTGAGGATTGAAGGTTCAGAGCTTAGGGTATTGAGTTAAGGGCTAAGATTGCGTTCAGAATGTAGGGTTCAGAAGTTGGGGTTTACGACTAAGGTTAAGTTCAGGGTTTAGGGTCTAAGACTAAGGTTAAGTTAAGGGCTTCAGGAGCCCTACATCAGAACCACGAAACCCACATCCCAGCCGCGGACCCTCTACAGCCCTCCCGCCTGTCCACGGGGCGTCGGCGTATCATCCTTCCTTGCCAGGTCCCTAAACTCTAAATCCTGAAGACAGAGGCCTAAGAGCCCAGAAAGCGATCTTGAAGCCCGACTACAGCGCGATAACTTCAGAAACCCAAAAGCCCCAGCACACCCCAGCTACGGGCGCGTGGCCGGATGAAGATCTCGGCCTGCAAGAACACACACTCCCCCGCCTCAGAAGGCCTATGCCCTTCTCCTTGGTCTTCTTGTAAATGTACACCTCCACCGACCCTTCCAGCAGGATGTAACCTCGGTTGGGAAGCCCCGCAGTGACTGAGACGGAAGGGCCGGAGCCGCAGCACCCCGAACCCTAGGGTGCGCGCTTAGGGTGGCTTAGGGTTGAGGGGTTTTAGGGTTTAGGGTTTAGGGTTCAGGGTTTAGGGTTTAGGGTTTAGGGTTTAAGGTTTAGGGTTTAGGTTTGAGGCTTCTTGGGGGGGTAGTAGGGTTTAGGTTTTTGGGGTTTGGACCTCCATCTCCCAAAGTCCGGGCCAAAGCACAGTTGTTGGGCGGATCGGACTGGCGAAAGAGCACTTGCTCCCGCCGCTCCTGACCAGCTCAGGGTTTTTTGGGGTTTAGGGTTTTAGGGTTTAGGGTTTGAGGGCTATGGCATATTGGACGCGCAGCCTTGTTCTACAGATACAGCAACCCGTACAGAAATGGGAGTTTACGAAAATAGGGGACCCCTGCATAGACCCCCAAATACTAGGACCCCCCCCCCCCAATAAAAAAAGGACCCCCAAGAAGGTACCCCTATTATCGCAAAAATCCCTAGATGGGACTCCTGTGCTAACATCGGGGCGTCCGTCCTCGAGTTTCGTGCAGCCTCTTGATGCCAGCTCCTTGATGAGACCCGGGGAGTTGCGCTCCAGGTCCTGCACTGAACCACACCCAAAAACTCCATTTACCCCTAAGTCAAGGAGCATTCCCTCAAATTTATACCTAGAACTCGAACTCGATTCCGCAGCGGTCTGGTCTGACCTACTAGCTAGCTGTAGCTCATGACATATGTCACGGCCGCTCTGTGGCGGCGGTTAACAGCTTCGGGTATGGACATGCAAGGCAACTGCACAGGAACCGAAGTTCAACAAACTGTGCAGTACAGGGTCTCCAGCGCTCACAGTCGCTCAACCTAGCGTTCTCGCACTTACTAACTAGGGAGTAGACTGTGACAGCTCAGCTGAACAGTGAATGAATTGTCAAAACGAAGAAATGAAAAACACATCACGCCACTCTGCCTTGGGCAGGGGGCCGGAAACGGCAACCCCGAGACAAGTGCTGCGCAAGCCCTGTACACTGTACAACGTCAGGACTGAGCTACAAAATGGTCAGCTCAATGATGGATCTCACTCATGAAAAGCAGTCAGTTGAGGACCTCCATGGAGGGACGGACTCAGAGTCCACTCGAGCATCGAAATGCACTCCACAGGCCAATTTCAAGCGAAACGGAGTCCACAACAAGCCTCCATGCATACCGCCAACTATACTGGAATCACTGCTTTTGGGCAGCGTAGCCACCGCTGACAGACACATTGGCACATCGTTCTGTCGTCCTGCCCAAAGGGCAAGCTTTGCCAAAGCGGCAGCCTCCATGAGAGAAAGCTGGCAGAAGCACCCCACGAGGAAAGAGAACCATCAGAGCAATCCCAAGAATACCTCAGCGGCAGGTACACAGCGTAGGGGACCATCACGTTGAGGAAGCCCACTGCACCCACCAGACAAGAAAATAAAATAGCAGCAGCATATTGAATAGAAGGGCCGATAACACGGCGCCCCCGCCCGCAGGCCAGGTTGCCGTAAAGCCTGGCAATCGCAAGTGGCCAAGAAAAACCAAGCAAGTATGGGGTGAGTGTGTGGTACTGCTCCAGCACATGCATTGTACAAGCAAAGAACTGAGTCAAATATGGTCAGCTCAACGATGATCCAAACTCATAGGGCAGACAGTTGAGGACCTCCATGGAGAGTCTGGTACTACAGTGACTCGTCGCATCGCGCAAGTTGCCTCATTGCCCGAAAACTCGCCATGGGCCGACCCACGAAATCCCAGAAGGGCTAGGTGGGAAACAGGAACGAACTGTCCACAACGAATGTCGTCACATATCCTTCCAGCCGTTGCAACCGAAAGTGAAAGCACCATGAGGTGGGCCATCAGAGCAGTCCCAGACGACGCCTCAGCAAAAACGAATTCATCTGCATAGAGACAAACTGTAGCAGCACAATGTAGGGGCCGAAGACGGCGCCCTGCCCATAGGCCTGGTTGCCGTAAAGCCTGACAACCGCAAGTGGCCATACATTCATCCCAAAATGCCTGATTGCCGCAAAGCCTGGCAACCGTAAGTGGCAATGAATAGTCATACAACATGAAGAACAAAAGCAAATACGAAATAAATAAACCAAGCACTGAGCATAGGCGCGAGCTCGCTGGCAGTGAAAACACTGTACCTTGCAGTCCGCCCCGAAGCGTTGGTGCGTACATAATGCCTGGCCAGTATCTTCGCCCACACATGAAGCCCAGGTGATCACGAACCTGATTGGCTCCCGCTGCAGCACTGGAATCTGCAGCAACCCTCACTTCTACCAGCAATACATTTGGCCTGTCTTCAGTGGCCCATCCAACGCTGGTTGCCGGACTTGGGACCGGCACGGCTCGTAAAATAAAGAAGAGCGGACCTGCAGTGATGATGCTTGAAGGTGTCACTCGTGTATCTCCCAACCGTGGGGCTAACTGCGTTTGCGCAACCAGCTCATCAGGTGGCAAAGGCGTCTCCAAAAACATCCAGTAGCAGAATGCCATGCAAATACCATACCAGATCCATGAAGGCCAGTGAGTGCACCGAGGACAACCTGAATGCACGGGTCTCAGACATATCGCCATCTTCATTGCATCTGTGAATGGGTGCCGAAGTGCGGCTTCCCAGGCTCAGTATTGAGACACCATGTGCAAAAGCAAGAACTACAGCGTCCGGAAGGGGGTCCAGTTGAACAGAGAACCTGTTAGGCCTCGAACCCGGTTGACCCCCTACCAAAAAAAACATGTGATCCGAGCCGAGAAGCTTAAATTTATACCTAGGGTTCCTTGCTATGGTTTAAGGCATATTCCTGAATTCAGGAGTGTTGGAGGAGGCTGGGGTTTTTTCGTGGTTTTGGAGTTGGGAGCTGAGCGGGTCGGAGCAAAATTTCACCCTCAACCCTCAAACCCCTACAGAGCGAGAGGGGACATTGGAAATTCAGGGAGGCGGAGAAGGTTCAGGGGCTTGGGACATTTTGGGAGCTGGGGCCTTGGAGCTGGAGGGCTGATAGAGGTACTCACGAAGACGCCCCTTAGTCGCGCAAATACTCCTAAACCCTGAACCCTGAGCCCCAAACCCTAAACCCTTAAGCGAAGAAGTGCGACATCACGGCCGCGCAGCGCCCAGGCTCCGCGAACATGTGTGGATGCTTGAAGAACGAATGCAAACCAACTTGCAGGTGCATGGGTAGCTATAGGTAGGGTTAGAAGCACCCTGAATAGGGTTAGAAGTATGGTTCTTATGACTACCCATGAACCTCCAAGAAATGATTCACCAACTCCTAGCTTCCAGACCACCTCTAAAGAAGCCTCTAGCTAAGCATTCGGGACGACGGTGCATGGACCCCTTTCCCCTCACACAGAATATAGGGTTTAGGGTTTAGGGTTTAGGGTTTAGGATCACAGAATACTAAGCCAAAAGGCAGAGTTCAAATCCTATACCTAAACCCGACGAAGCGAAGCCAGGTGCATCGCTTGCCTAGCGACCAAGGAGGCTTGATTGGGGGCAACGGTGGGCTGCCCTGACCCCAAAGGCTATGAGACATCTCTGTTGCACTGAAATCGCATCAAGCATGAACTCCATAGCCTGAAGGGCCAAGAAGCCCCCAAAGTACCCGCGAATCCCCGCAAACTTCTCGAAGCGCCCGAGCCCCGGGTGTTTTGCTGCTCTGCGCGTTGTGAGATTTCGGGCCGAAGGGTTTAGGATCGAAGGGTTTTGGGTTGGTGGTTCCGGGGCTGACAAGGTGTCGGGGATTGGGGCTCTGTAGGGTTTAGGGTTTTGGGTTTAGGGTTTAGGGTCGGACCCTCGCTCCCGGAAGAAGGCGCTCGTCTTGAGGATGCGAATGGATTCCTCCATCGCCTTTGCCTTGCCAAGGTTTAGGCGTGCGCTCAAGATTCATGGGGAATTAGAAGTAGGGTGACAAGTACCCTAAATAGGGCTATGAGTAGAGTTGTCATACTTAGAAACCTACTTTTTCATTGCCCATAAACCCAAAACTCAAACCCCAAAGTGGGTGAGAAGTCTGCAGGATGGGCTTTGGGTAATGTAGGGGCATAGGTTTTGGGGGCTATTATAGTATAATTGTAAAGGGACCATAAGGGAATAGTATTAGTAACTATTCCTAACCCTAAACCCTAAAACCCAAAACCCTGAACCCTGAACCCTAATTTCCGACCCCAATCTTATGCTTGTGCTTGTGTGGGCTCCGGTCGGTCTCGGAGGGCGCAGATTCCACGGAAGCCCTGAAGACCCAACAACTGGCAAATCTTGCGAGCTGCTTGGGGTTTGGGGTTGGGGGTTGAGGGTTGAGGGTTGAGGGTTGAGGGTTGAGGGTTGAGGTTGAGGGTTGAGGGTTGAGGGTTGAGGGTTGAGGGTTGAGGGTTGAGGGTTGAGGGTTGAGGGTTGAGGGTGGAAGATTGAGGGGTTGAGGGTTGAGGGTTGAGGGTTGAGGGTTGAGGGTTGAGGGTGGAGGGTGGAGGGTGGAGGGTGGAGGGTGGAGGGTGGAGGGTTGAGGGTTGAGGGTTGAGGGTTGAGGGTGTAGGGTTGAGGGTTTAGCTGCCACCTTTATGCTCTGATCAATGTCTGGCCCTGAAAGATGGTCGGAAGTTCCTGCAGAGGGGGTCTACAAAACCCTGAATCCTAGACCCTGCTGCCCTAAACCCTACTGGTAAACCCTAAACCCTAAACCCTAAACCCTAAACCCTAAACCCTAAACCCTAAACCCTAAACCCTAAACCCTAAACCCTAAACCCTAAACCCCAAACCCTACTCTAACCCGCAATGGTGGGGCTGTTGGGCTCTCCCGGGACCTCGTCAAAGATCTGCTTTACGACACCTTGGTAGGTGGCATAGGGAATCCTGAGCTGCACATGCAAAATTGTGCACCGGGTGAGACTTTGGGGGGGCTTCTTTTAGAATAGGCGTTGGGGCGTAGAGTTTGGGGCTTAGGGCTTAGGGTCTGGGGTCAAGGGGTTTGAGGGCTCAAAGCTGCGCCTCGGCATGTCGTAGTATTCAGGGCTTCGGTGGAAAGACGGACAAGCATCACTAGCTGGTGCTCTCAGGGGGGGAGGGGGGAGTAACGGTGCATGATAAACATCATGCATGACGTGGGTAGCCACGCCTCCCCCTTGCCCGTTGTTTATGAGTTTAGGGATGTTTGTGGCACCATGTCATTTCTATGACTCGCGCTTGCATTCAACTGCTAGAATGGGGACATCATGGGTTCGAGCCCTGAAGCCTGAACCCTGAAACCCACACCCCTGCCTACCAGGTTTGCCCTGGCACAGAATCGTAAAGTTGTTCCCACAGCATCTTAATCAGAACTCACGGGTTTCAGGGCCGTTGGGGCTCCGGGCCTTTTGGGCCTTTAGGGCTTGGGACGCTCGAAGCAACTTTAGGGGCTTAGACCCTAAACCCTAAACCCTGAACCCTAAACCCTAGACCCTAAACCCTAAACCCTAAACTAAGCACCCTGAGCACAGTCTCCGCAGGAAGGCAGAATCCTCTTCACACTTGATGGTAGCAGCTCTGGGCTGCGTGTTCCTGAGATAAGAGATAGGGTCTAGGGTTTAGGATTTAGTGTTTAGGGCTTAGGGTGTAGGATTTAGGGTTTAGGGTTTAGGGTTTAGGGGTTAGGGTTCAGGGTTCAGGGTTTAGCGCTTCGCGGATTGAGGTTTCGGGTTTTGGGCCCTTGCACTGTTTTCAACTTTTCGGGGCGAGGGATGGTTGAAAAGTGTACTTGGTGAGGAGGACCAGGTGCTGGAGTGCT